GCGCGGGCTTGTGGCGCACAACAATAAAATGCAACTCCGGGGCTCATGTAACCAAAATTACGGTTTAGAGTTTAGGGTTTAGGGTTGTATTGAGGTTATATTGGGGTTATATCGGGGTTATATGGGGATACATATGGATAATGGAAAATAACATGGAAAGAACTAGTACTATAAGAGGGATTATATTACAGCCTTTAGGTACCACCTGTATGGGGGCCACTTCTAGCCGACTCTATATGAGCTACTGTCTAAACTCCTAGTATCCCCCTTAATAAGCCCTATAGTAGTCCCCTATATAATCCCCTATATAACCCCCTTTAAGGAGTTTAGATTATGGCTCATATGTCTTCAAGCAGACTTGCAAAACCCCTGGGACCTGCTCAGCAGCCTCGCAACGCGAGGGCTCCTGCAGCATGAAAACCGTGAAGGGAACACGCAGCGCTGCCATGTAAGGAGTTTCGCGGCTGCTGTTCCTAGTTTCTGCGAGTGTCCCACACAGTTTGATGGGTGCAGCAGTTCGGAAACCTGACGATTGCTTTGCTATCGCCATACGCCATGAGCCATGCATCAAAGATCATCATCGTGGCACAGGCGACCCTCACCGTAAACGTATGGTGTTACATGATTTTTCCATCAAAAATCAGAGTCCCTTACGTTACCCCCCCAAGTCCCGCTCTTGTCCGCCTAGGGTCCCCCAAAGAAGTACCCATGCTTCATATAGACCCCCCACACTCCTTGTGATAGCAATTTTCATTTTCTTTTCCATTACCCCAAATACCCCTAAACCCTAAACCCTATATGATATACCCCTACAAAACCAAAAACCCAGCAAAAATTGTGGTGGCACCTGGCCTCTGGCTTCGAGATGGGGCTGGAAACGCCGGGCCCTGACTGATGAGAAATTTCATAGGTTTTGGGGTTTAGGGGTTTAGAGTTTTGGGGCTGGGGGTCTAGGGTTTAGGGGTTTAGGGGTTTAGGGCTTAAGATTTAAGGTTTGGGTTTAAGGTTTTGAGTAGTCTTTTGGGGTGGTTGAACACATGAAGACCAGGTCCTTCTCGTTAAATGCTAGAGCCAAAAGGAGTATGTAATCTGACTCTCTATACTATGACTGAAATATCCTCACGAAAAACACTACTCATGTGAGTGATAACTGCCAATCTTCGTGCTACACTGATACTTAGGGGAGAGAGGGGAGAGATAATAGAGGGTATCCAAGCGTGCTACCCTAAACCCTCAATCACGTGAGAGCAACCCACATAGCAAAGAGCTTTTGGAAGTCCTTTCTGGCTTAATTCTACACGGAATGTGACGGAAGGAAACTGACTGAAAGTTTTTGTATGCATTCCGAATTGTTCTCATCAGTCATGGTACCCCACCATCTTCTCATGACCAGTGACATACAGATTCTAGTCCCACAGAATCATGCTTGGTACCATTCGCTGTTAATCCCCTCTCCCTAACTCACATGAAACCCCCCCAGCACCCCTAATATTCGATATTCCCAGATGTATTATACGAGACCACAATGGGAAGTATTTGATATTGGGGGGGGAGGTTTAATGTTTTGGGGAGGGGAGTCTTCCTGCTGTTTAGGGCCCACTGCGTCAGATGTGGGGGTTCCCTGCATCAGCCGAAGCTCAAAGTAAGCGGTCGGACAAAACCTCTGCACCAGGTGGACCCCCCACCCAGTAACAGTGACTATAAAGGATAATTTGGATTATATTCAGGTCCTATTATATTCCTAGTATACCACTATTACAGGGTGGGGGTTCCTCCTAACAAGCCCTAAACTCTAATATCTAAACCCCAAGCCCTAGATCCCTAAACCCTAACCCCTAAACCCTAGGTCCCTTACAGGGTGCGGGGTCCTCCTAACGTCTGCAATCCTTACAAGGCACCAGACCAAGGGGTCACTGGGTTGATGAACAAAATCCTGCATGACCCTATAGTCCTCCTTAAGTAGATAGAATATGGGGTATATGGAGACCTTATTCTAATATACCCAAAGCCATATTCTATCTACTTAAGGGGGGCTATGAGTATGCTGTAGGAACATACTTCCAAGGGTTTAGGTACATGAGCCTCAATCTAAACTCCTAGCATCCCCCTTGTCCCCTATATAGTCCCCTATAGAACCCCCCTTTAAGGAGTTTAGACTATAGCTCACATGGGGTGATGCAGGATTGTGTCCATCAGCCATAAATCCTGGCCTTCGCCTCTGTGAGACTCTTCCATCTGCTGGAGGGACTGCTGCAGCTGCTGCTTCTCCCGCTCTGCCTGCGCCATCCCCGTCACTATACGGAATAAGGGTTTAGCGGCAAGGTTTGGGGTTTACGTTCTAGGTATTAGAGTTTGAGGTTTGCAGCTTAGTTTAGGCTTTAGGGTTCAGGGTTTCAGGCTTTGTTGCATTTAGGCAATGATTCAAGGCACTCTCTCCTCTGAGTGCTGCTTCTTTGTAGCCCGGCAATTGCCATTCAACTACCTGGCAGGTTTAGGGTTCAGGTTTTGGGGTTTCGGTTAGACCAAACATGATTTTGCCAGTCGCTCGCTCATTTTGAGCAGCTACTTGGAGGGCCACGGGGACTTAGTAAGCACATATACTGTAACCCTAGAAGCCATATGATTGCCCCCAGTTGTGCCTGTTGTTAACTACTTTCCGCGCCCCCCGGAACCTCCAAGTAGGTATCCTTCCCACTATTGAGTCCCGTGCATGACACGGGTCCTAACCTCGTTTTGACAAGCGCGAATCCATGTGCGTAAGCGGTATATGGCGCCAGTGAGCGTACGCATGGACTCCATCCTATCTGCTTGCGTGGCCGCAGCTCTTGGACGCAGCCCAGGCGAATGGGAAAATGTATGATGTACTTACGTAGATCCCTCAATATTACGTCTTCTGTTATAGGCCGTCACTGGGCGGGGGCAGTACCCAAGCCTTCTAAGAAGCAACCCTACTAACGTGCGGCCACGCGGAAGAAAAGCCAAAGAGCGCTATCGCTTGGCGAAAGGCGCGACGAAGGCAGGCAGGCCGGGAATAATAGTGATAATAGCACGAATAAAAATAAGAACAATGGTACTCATAAAAGAAGTAATAAGAATTTCCAAAATCGGGATAATAGTAATAATCGCACTATTATTGCCAATAGTAATCTTCATAAGAAAAGTACTAATAGTAACTGCAACGATAGGAATAACCATAATAGTGATAATACTGTTGATGGAGGAAATCTTGCACCACCTGAAGTAGTCCCTAAAGTCCTAGGAATTACAGTACTTTAGGGCCCCTAAGTGGTGCAAGATTTCATCCATCAACAGTAGTAATCCGGGCAAGGCAAGCAACTCGACAGGTGCCCCCGCATCCTTTCAGGATCCTGCACATGACCTCTGTTGGAAGGGCTACCCTCCCGGAAACTAACATGGAAACCCAAAAAGGGCCCTATAAAGACTACAGTCCTTCTAAAAGGGGATTACATGGGTTTCCATGTTAGTTTGGGGGAGGCTATGGTCCGTTAATTCTGAAGTTGGCGGAGCTTCAACGGAGGTCTGAGCAGAACTGAGGCTCATATAAGCCATGAGCTAAACTCCTAGGGTTTAGGGTTTAGGGGTCCTAGTATGCCCCCTGATAACCCCTATACGAGTCCACTATATAACCCCTTTAAGGAGTTTAGACGCTAACTCATATTCCGCCGTTGGCGGCTCAATCAAACTCGAATTCGCTCACCGCCAGGCTGTCTGGACCAGTGGAGCTCCCGTCGCTGTTGATCTTTCGGCCAGATCGGAGGCCAGCCTTATGAAAGTAACAATAATCATAATAGGAATATCAGAAATATAATCATAGTAATAATCACAGTGACATGAAAAATGATAACAGTGATAATAGTAATAATAATGACAACAATAATACATGATAAGGATAAGCGATAAAAAAAAATAGTGGAAATGGTGATCATGGTAGGCAGAGCGATAATAGTGATTGCAATAATACTGCTCTGTTGGTTCCTCATGCTCCTATAAACTCTCCACCTTCAAGCACCTAGCATTCAGACTTCAAAGCCCATGAACAAATTCAAAAATATTTGCTGCCATGCATTTTTTAGCAGCTGCCCCCACCACCACGAAGAGCGGCATCAGGTGCTCCGCGGCCCCGCGCGGCTGAGACGCGAGGGCTGAAGGGGCGGAGGCCCACTTGGCCAGCCGGGCGGAGCGCTCCTCGAAGTCTGGGCCCCTAATCTGGGGGCCCTTAGTCCTTTTAGGGGCTTTGAGGGACCATATAGGTTGAATAGTAGGTATATAAGGATCCCAGGGTTAAGTGCCCATACTAGGGGCCCATGGTTTCAACCTTAGACTCATCAGAAACTAATTATCATTATGGCATGGAAGGTTGATCCTTCGGGAGGTGGGCGGCTGTAGTATGACTCTAGGTGGAAAGAAACAACACTGAAATGTCGTGGGATCAGGGGACAATTGATTTCTGGATCAGTGCTGGATCGAGCTCTACCTTACTGGTTGTTCCCTCCAGCCTGGTGTAACCGCGCGGTTTTGAGGGGGTTGTAGGAGCTCAATTTTGCTGACAGGCGTGGGGTTTCGTGCACTTGCCAGGCTGCCAGAGGCCATTTTATGCCCATATTCGCAGTGTTTTGTGGCCG